CGCCCCCACCACAAAGAGTTTGTTTGTTATTTCCACTTCTCCCCCAGATTACGCCGCATATCTGAGGTGCGAGGCGTTTACTACCACAAAGCATCCTTTCTGTGCACTACAATGCAATCCCAGGAATTTGAGGTTCCTGGTAATTGGTGGGTGGCTGCAAACACTATAAAACCGACTTGTGTGAAGTTTATTGCACCGACACCAACCTTCCCAACAGGCAAAGGCAGTGTCCTTCCAGACAGCTCTTATCTAGTGCAGCCAAACAAAGGAGGCAGTGTCCGCACCACGGGGCTTCAGGGGCTGGATGCCCTGGCAAGCGGCAATTTGGGCTTGTCATAAATGCACGGGTAGGTAATCCTCAGGTAAAAGAGGCAGGCAGCACGGTTCCTCTGTAAGCTCCATACTTACCTCATTATCGTGCGGTGGCAGCTGATAGAGCAGCTGTTTAATTCGGTGTTTCTCTCCAGGGCTGTTAATGTAAGGGACCTTGTCCTCTGGCAGGCAGGCAAAATAGAGCTGGACCTGAATAGGAGACAGGCGGAACTCAGACCAGAGACACCTATCACCAAACCCTGCAACATCAGGGTTCCCTCTGCTACCATCTCGCCTCAGGTCTTCCTTACAAAGCGAAAGGGACATGCTGCATTAGAGCCATGACAGGATTTGCGCTGAAAATACGAGACCCAGAGGAATGAACTCAGCAAACCTGAATTGCCTCTGATACAGCTTAGCACCCAGCTGCTGAATTGCTTTTCTGGAATGCAATTTGCAGTGACAATTAGGGGTATCATAAATTATGCACATTTAATGTTCTCATTATTGCCACCCCCTTCGGGGCTGGTCACCGAGCCAGTTGAAATTCCAAGTTCCCTTGTGCAATTTACCACACCGAGGCATGAAGCTTTCCAGAAAACAGCCGCTATATAAACACATTTAATTTGCTCTGTGCATTTTACACGTTGCTGAGACAAAAGCTGTTTTGTAGTCTCCTGCTGCTCAGGTTCGTCCCCAGCATCAGCCTTCATTGCTTCCATGTGAGCTTTGGGGAGAAGACAGAAACAGCCTTCCCTCGGGAGGAGGCTGCCTCCAGCCACAGTTCAATCAGACACAAATTAACTATGAAATTTTCATGGGCTGCACACACGCTCTAAAAACCTACTTGGAAATATTTTCAGATCAATCTCCACTCTTTTTATTCTTTTCAGAAGAAAATTATGACAGGAAAACTGTAATGAATACTACGACAAAGCCCAATGGCAAAAAATATTTTTGTGGAACAGCTACAGATTTATTGTTTTTCCTATGCAGTTTCCAGCTTGTCACAAGGCCTGGGGCAGTAAATAAGACCCGACTATTGGCAAAAATATTACTTGCCATCCAGATTTAAATAATGCTTAGGTCAACAGCTTATTACTGTACAAGATAGATGAAAAAGGAGGCAGTAATCAGTCACTTGACTGAGGAAGCAATCAAAATTATATGGGAAAGCTTGCACGAAACATTATTTGGCTTTCATTTATCCAACATTTTAACATCAGAAGTCTACTGTAAGCCCATTTACTACTGATTGTATTGAACGAAGCTGCAGGATAAACTAACAACTTGCAGTAAAGAGGAAGCTTGTAAAGACACTGTATGTCTGTTTCTTTGTTATAGTGTTTTCAGTGTGCATATATTCTTCCTAAAAAAGGATCTGTAATACGTTTCAGTAGCTGGAATATAAGGAAATTAAATAAACTGAATTTACTTAATTGTTCTGGCTAAATGTTAACTTGCTGAGTTTGTGAGGATTCTTATATATATATTCTAAAGTGAGAAAAACAATTTCACTAAATAACAGTTTATTTGCCACCGCTGCTAACTTGTTAAATTATTCATGATTAAAAAAAAAATCTCTACATAGTAAAAATGAGAAATCTTTTGTGTCCTCATAACTACGGACTGTATTAACTGACCAGCTGGATGGGAGTTGCTCTCCCTCCTTTTGCAGAAAGTCACTATAGTCCTTTAACACCATATGCCCATTTAACATTTAAGTTCAACTCCTGGATATTACTGAATATACCTTTTCAGTACAATTGCAAGATCATTAAAGGGCTGTTATTGGAGTTTCATTTCAATCATGCCGAGCAACTTGCTCCCTGATAATTTAACTTGTATTTCCATTAGTGTTACGTTCTAATAGACAAGGAGGAAAGGGAGTAGAGAGAAGAGAACTGCACAGCAGTTCCCAAGCCGCAAGTGGCAGCTCCAGTGAACGTATGAGAGAAATCTTGGCATGAATCCTGGCAGACACACAGTTATTTAAACAAATGTGAAATATGTTAGCAATTGTCAAAATGACAGAATACTTTCATTTGTGTGTGCTATGGTAACATTCATTTGTCTAGATGTCAAATCCCTAATATTTAGGCAGAGGGTTGTACAAAACCAGTTAAGTACTAACTAAATAATACAATGCCACAAGGTATGCCATGAGCATAAATTTAACCAAGTAACTTATTTCAAAGGGAAAGTGAGTGTTCTCTATGCTGCGTTGATTCTACAATATATACTTGTGTGACACACATTTATTGAAAATACTCAGCTAAAAACATTTTTTAATATATTCCTGAATGACCAGGATTTTAGGCTCCCTTAAGACTGTCTAACTGAAATATAAAACAATACAAGAAGCTAAAAGTTTTAAGAATAACCTTAAGACTTGTATACATATGAAAACACTTAAGACCTTCTGCAGGGTACCACTCACTGAAACAGCTCTTCTTGGAGTTGTTTTGAAAACAAAAAGCCACGGTTTGTACCTGCTCTGGTCTAAGGCCTGGTGGGACCCAGGTATATTCTTCCAAGGCACAGCCGGAGTCATCGTCAGACGTGGAGCTCCGCTGGCACCCGAAAGCAAGGCTGTTTGCTTTGGGCTCCATCTCCAGCGGCATAACGTAAGCGGGAAGCGATGAATATTTCAGCTGCAGTTCATCAAGCAGTTGATCTGCAGAAAGAGATTACCAGCGTGTTAATTAATTCGAACATGCAGTGACTAACTATGGGGTAAATAATCTTGCAGCGGGTTAGTACTCCTTGTTGTGCAGCATTCAAAGTCATGGCAGTATCCTCACAGCTTGCTACAACCCAAAAAAAAAAAAAAAAAGGAAGGAAAACTAGACACACACCATTGCTTTTAGTAACCAACACATATTTCAATATAACACTTGTTGTCCTTTGTCCTTTGCATTTCTGCTTGTTTTGAAACATTGCGGGTTAAGGAAAGACTCACGCTGAGCAGATAATAATAAAATGAATAACATGAGCGCTTTTTGTAGTTGCTATCAATCTAGCAACACAGAAGAGGTGAAAACGGCTTATCCAAAACTGAAGAAGTTCTTGGGGAAGGACGATGGTGCAGTTGCTAGGACTTTTTTTTATCAAGGGAGGCACAAAGCGAGCAAGGAAAGGCTGGTGGCTGCTTCGCAGATCTTTGTCCCAGCCCTAGGAGCGCGGGAGGGCGTCGGTCCAGGTAAATCTCCGAAATCCAATTATGGCAGATTAGGCTCTGTAAAAGACATTGCGATTGTTCGATAACTTAAACCCTACAGGGACAGGTTTCCTCTGATCACAAAGTTTACGGAGCTCAGTATCAGCGGGACTATTCTGAGTCAAAACCGGCCAAGAAGGCTCTCGCCAAGATCCATAACATTCTGCAACACAAAAAAAGCCCTTATCGGATAAACGTTTTACACTGGCAGAAGTTCCTAGGAGTTCTGACCTAGGAGAAGGTCCTAGGAAGTTCTGAAGAAGTTCAGTGAAATGCAGATCACACCAGAATGAAGAACGACGTACTTTGCCATGACTGACATTCTGATCAGCTGATCAGTTAAAACTAGGCTGAACAACGTCATAAATTAACTGTACGTGCCCCGTTTTACACAATTCTTTCACCTAGCCATCTGAATACAGGTGTCATTTTCTCTGTGTTAGATGTGGGCTGCAGGCTCACGGTAGAAGAGTTTCATCACCTTGAGATACGAGCTTGCTGCCAGGTCCGAAGGAGGCAGCAATCCAAAAAACTTCTGGCTCATTTCACATTACAGGTCCCATCACCACCATATTACAAAAATAAGTTATTGCTGGATCACAGGGGAAGCAAAGTTTAAGATCTAGGACCTAACTGCTTGTTACACAATAGGAGCTTCTCCTGAAAGCTCCTGGCCTGGGGTGCTGGCTACTGGCAGGCACCAGTTAGTTACTCAGCAGGGCATTCCTCACGCAAACCCAAACCGGCTCCGGGAGAAGCGGCCTCCATGCCCACAAAGCAAAAGCAAACAAACAAAAAAACTCACTAAAGTAAGGATATTTAGCCTTACACATTCTATCTATCCCTGTTTTCAATATATCTACACATTCCCACAGCCAATAAAAAGCGATGGAATTACTTAATTATTCCACTGGGCTATTGTTAGTGCTCAATTTTTGAAGATTTTTGTTAAGTTTATTCCAAAACTTCCTGTTTGAAAACAAATATGCTGTTTTGGATTTACTGCTAAGAAGCCAATGCACTGCACAGCTGCACTGTAATAAAAGATTAATTTATTTATTCTTGAGAAAACTTCCAATCTCCCATAAGAACGGTGTATTTCGACAAAGCTTGACAGAAATCAGGCATATTCCTGAAATATTGTTCTAGTTGAACAACTGAAGGTTAGCGTAATATTTTTGTGTGCGTGACCAGAAACATGGAACAGTTGAGCTTAGAAGCGACCTTCAGAAATCACCTGGTCCATCTCCCTGGCTCAGGCAGGGACACCTAAAGCAGGTTGCCCAGACTGCATCCAGGCGGCCTTTGAGGATCTCCAAGGAAGGATGGAGAGTTCTCAATCTCCCTGGGCTACCTGCGCCCACGCTCAGGCACCCTCACGGTAAGATAGTCCTTCCTAAAGCTCATATAGGCCTTCCTGTGTTTCAGGCTGTGCCCACTGACTTGTGTCCTAGGTGGAGATGGAACTACTTCTCCTAACCTGCTGCCAACACTCCTCCTGCAGCACCCCAGGACACCAGTGCCCTTCTTAGCCATGAGGGCACTGTGCTAGCTCAGTCACCTGCCGTCCGCCAGCACTTGCAGGTCCTTCTTCCCAGCAGGTCCTCCCCGGCCTCTGCTGGGTTATTGCTCTCCGGGACCTCCCCAGGGCTCTGCACTTCTCTTTGCAGAATTGCACAGGGCTCCTCTCTACCCACCTCTGCGGGCTGCTGAGGTGCCTCCGAACGGCCCCCGCGGAACCAGCCACCGTTCCCGCTTTTGTACCACCTTGCGGAAGGAGGAGGCCCCCATCCCCTCCTCCGTGTCTCCGAGGAGGAGCGGGAGCAGGGCCGGACGGTGCCCGCGGAGAGCCCGGCACTTCAGTGCTCTGCAGCGAGACGCAGCGCGCGGAGCTGGCCCCGGCCGGCCGCTCGGCCGCTTCGGCACCACTCGCCAGCCTGCAGTCTCTGCACAGGGGGGTGCAGGAAGGCAAACTCCCCTATTTGCTGTTTTGCATATTAACAGCACGCAAGACAGGTAGATTGTATCCTCAATAATTAGTGCACGCAACTTCATCCTCAGAGACCTTTCCCTCATTTCCTCTTCTACTGTTTGAAGCTGACCTTTTAAAGCAATCATTTTCAAGAGGCGCAAACCACTTGTGGTTAGATAGCTAGCTGAACCAAAGCCATCCATACACACATTCACTGGCAATGAACAGCATTAATTCCACTGCCTTATTTGCTCCTACAAAAGCAAGTGTCAAGAAGGCAAGGACAGGCTATTGAAAAACGAATATGAACTGAATTAAATGAAACTCTAATAGTTCCATCTTGAATATTTAAAGTACCAAGACAGACATCCTGGTGAATACAAGATCCCCAGGATTAATTTTCTTCAGAAACAGATGCGAAGATGTTGTTGGTATGGCTGATAAAGCGCTGCTTCCCCTCTCTGCATACCAGGAGAAGTGAGGTCAGCCACGAGGTATGCTCTGTTGTTCCTGCCTCTGTAAAGCCGGGCAGCAGGGACAGGCAAAGAGCAGGACAGGGCTGCGCAATCGCTGCTAGCAGAGCAGAGCAGAGCGCACCAGGGTGCGAGGGGGAGCACCTCGTGTCCTGCAACACGGGGACCCAGGTAAGTCTCAAGTACAAAATCACCCTTCACTGCAGCCAGTATTACTGAGAAGCCCTTTCTAAGGGATCTTAGCAATCAATGCCCGGCTTCACAGTTTCCCTTTAGAGTAAGGTGGGTTGTTGGTTTGCAATAAAGTGTCACTAACTAGCTGAAGTCCAAGGGGATATTTCCAATCCTTACATCAGTGTGTCATAAGAACCTGTTGATCAAATCGGCTTACTTTCTCCATTTGAAAGAAAAGGAGGGAAAGCTGTCAAAATGAATGCACCTTAACTTTTCTGAGGACTTTTGAACCCTAAGATTGCCTGCTCCTTCTGCTTAGCACCAACAGTGCTTGGTAATGTTAGGATTTCAAGTGTGCCAAAGATACACAGGCGTCTAATTCCAAAAGAGGACAAGGCTGATAAGAGGGACCACGCTGCTTTCCCACCAAGACTGATCCGTCCGCGTCACCAGTTTTACCTATTTCTTTCCAACATCCAGCACTTCAGCTCTAACAACAGAAAAACAGACACCATGGACTGATCAGCCCTCTAAAATAGAGCACCTTGAAAGTAGGTGCTAGAGAATAAACACACTTTCCAAAGCACAAAGCTGTACAATCCAGAGGCTCCTCTCTGAAGAAGAGGGTCAGATATGTTAAAAATGAGGCTCATACATCTCAGTGAACTGAGATTACTCACAGGACAGCACTCACCTAAAAATGTTATCATGATGCTAACACTAAAAGTCAGCTACAAATTCACTGACCCCACATATCAATATTACAAATGAGGCGCTGTTGCTGAGAGCAAGGTTCCTGAAAACAGCACAACGGACTAGCAGGCTATTTGCAGGCTATTTTAGCAATTGCTTGTTTAGAAGTTCTCCTTCCTCTACGGCTCCAGTGTAATTTGGTTTGCATTTTAAAACTGCAGGGTTCAGGAAACTTCCTCCCCACCCCCCAGCCGCTCTCATTCTTCAAAGTGACCAGTTGAAGATGATTACATCCTAAGGAGGACTCCGATGAATATAAACAACAGCTGAAAAAATAGAAGATTTGTGAGGGATGATTGCAAAGGAGGGCTTTCTGCTCGTGCCATGACATCCCCAAAGTACAGCTTTTTTTCAAGTCTATGTTGTGCTTTGAAGTTTTGCCTCTGTTCAAATGCTATCCCACAAATAAAGCTTCACAGCCTACGAGGAGATATTTCACTGGCACTTTGACAACTATGAATCACATAATTGAATCAACCAACTAAGTTTGATTTAAAAAGGAAAACAATTAATACATTTTTTTTCCGCTGCTGTATTAAAATGACCATCTATGACAAAATCCTCAGAGGTCAGAAGCGAGGGCAAACTGTGCTCCTAGTTATAAACCCGCTGGTACATTAAATGTTGTCGTGCTTAACGCAAAACTACTGTGAATCCAACACGAAGGTTATCCTTGCGCTGGGTTTTGGCTGGTTATGTCCCACTGGCGCCTCTGGCCACATGGAAGGGGTCATGATTTGTGAGCACAGTTAGACAAACATCTCCTTGCCCATCCCCTGCTGTTCTGCTCTGTCCTGCGGGGCAAATTGTTTAACGACCTTTTTGTTAGAAAGCTTGTTAACAAGGCTATAGGGGACCTGAGATGCATATCGCAGGCGCCCACTCACAGAGCAGGGCAAGGAAGGCCCAAGGAGTTAAGATTATCACGGCCAGCCCCTTCACCTGCTTATTTAACCCCTAATCCACAACAACTAGGCTAGAAAAGGAAGCGCCATAAAACAAGGATTAATAATTTAAAGCTGTGTTACAAGACTCATTACACGAACGGTCACAAAGGCCCGTTCCCTAGCTGCAATGTGAGTC